GGGAGCCGGGCGGAGGCCAGCACCCACCCGACGTCACGCGTGGAGCCGCGAAGGGGCGGGGTCCGTGAGCCCCCTCCTAACCCCCACGGCGGGGTTCGCATGCGCAGAGCCTAAGCGGGCGGGGCCGCCTTGCCTCAAATCAGGGTGAGGGCGTACCAAAAAAGTAACCCAATGAAGGGGCAAAGGGGAAGAAATAACTCCTCAGGAGGTGAGTTAAAGGGAGAATGGCAAGGAAACTAATTCTAGAGACGTCGTTAGAAATGTAAAATCTCCCTCTGCGGAGGCTGTGGGGTCATTTCAATGAGAATCTCGTCGCAGACATTTTTCTGTTACTCGGCTCCTACCCGCGCCAATAGCACAGCCTAGCCGCGCCCAGGTTCCGGGTAGAGAACCTGAGGTCCGCCGTGGGGCGGCGCGGGGGGGTGGGGGTGGAGGGGTCCCGCTATAGGAGTCCAAGCTTTATGGGGGTCGTTCAACTCTTCTCTGCAACCTACTCCTGTATAACGTCTGCACCTTACGCCTGGCCCCTGGCATATAGTAACTCCTTAATGCATAGGATCCTACTAGCTGCAAGGTTGGTCAATAGCTACCATCACATTTCACTTCTGTAAGGTGAAGTGTAGAAATGAGAGCACTAGGGTCCATCTTACCTGAAAATAGCAGGATACAAAGCCAGGAACCCAAGTTCAGCCTGCCCCTGCATAAGCCATACCTGTGCTTCTCAGGAGACTGAGTTTCTGAAGATCATTCTTTGTACCTCACTGGTTGGATGGGAACCTTAGACAAAGCGTGGGGAAACGGCACCAATTCTCAAGAGCACACAAATAGCACTGTACAAATACTGTTTGAAACAGACTCTGAGTATTCAACACCACTGAGGCTTCCTTAAGACAGAGAGACTATGTCATTTCTGTACCGTCACCTCCAAAAGTTTATAGCACAAAATATTCTCATATATGGCAAAATGGTATTTGACAAGAGTGCCAAGACCATTCTATCAGGGGAAAAATAGTCTCATTCAACAAATGGTGATGGGAAAACTGGATATCCACATACAAAAGAATGAAGTTGAATCCTTACCTTATACTGTATACGAAAGTTAATTCAAAATGTATGGAAGAACTAAATGTAAGAGCTGAAACTATAAAACTTTTTAAAGGGGAAAAGCTTCATGAACTTGTATTTGACAATGATTTCTTGGATATGACGCCAAAAGCACAGGCAACAGAAGAAAAAAATAGGTGAATTAGACTACATCAAAATTTAAAACTTGTGCGCATCAGACACAACAGAATGAAAAGGCAACCCATGAAATGGGAGGAAATAATTGCAAATCATGTATCTGATAAGGAGTTAATATCTAGAATACATAAAGAGCACTTCTACAACTCAACAACACAAAAGCTCAATCCCATTAAAAAATGCACAAAGGACTTGAAAAGGCATTTCCCCAAAGAAGGTATATAAATGGCAACAACACATGGAAAGATGCTCTATATCACTAATCATTAGAGAAATGCAAATCAAAATAATTAGATTCTAGCTTATAACTATTAGGATGGTTATTACTAAGGAAAATAACAATGGTTGGCATGGCTATGGAGAAAGTGGAACCCTTGTGCACTGTTGGTGAAAATGTAAAATGGCACAGCCACTGTGGAAGACAGACCTGTGTATCTTTGAAAAATTTTAAATAGAATTATCAGCAATTCTACCTTTGGGTCTACATGCCAAAGAATTGGTAGGGTTCCAAAGAGATATTTGTACACCCATGTTCACAGCAGCCTTATTTACAAGAACTGAAAGGTGGAAGCAACCCAAGTGTTTATCAACAGAGGAATGGATAAATAAAATATGGTGTATTCATGCAATGGAATATTATTTAGCCTTAAAAAGGAAGGGCATCCTGACACAGTGAAATAAGCCAATTACAAAAAGACAAATATTGTATGATTCCACTTATGTGTGGTACCTATAGTAGTCAAATTTATAGCAACAGAAAGTAGAATGGTGGTTTCCAGGGGCTGCAGGAAGAGAGGAATGGGAAGTTATTGTTTAATGAGTTTAAAGTTTGAGTTTTGCAAGATAAAAAGTTCTAGAAATGGATGATGGTGATGATTGCATAATAAGGTGAGTGTACTTAACACTAAATGTACTAAACCATATACTTAAAATGGTTAAGATAGTGAATTTTATGTTATGTGTATCTTGCTACAATTTTAAAAAAATTTTTATGGCACAGTCTCCTAGAGTATAGTGTTTTAAAAATTCCACTAATTGACTTGAAATTCCAAACATAGGAAGAATTTTTTTCTCAAAGGAAAAATAAAAGTGTGGATGGCATAGAATTTTAGAATCTAGGATTGGAAGGCACTTAATAACTGAACAAGGTCAACAAAACATACATGCCCCTTTGTTTTCCAGATGCTAAAATGATGTCTGAAGAGGTTAAGGGACTCACTGCAAGTCCCCCAACCAGTTAAGCCTTGGCCAAAATGAGAGCCCTGGTGTCCCAACACCAAATCCAGAACTTTCCCACTAAATTCTCCTTCAGTCCTGCCAAGAGATCTGTCCTGAAAACCTGCAAGTCTCTGCCCATTCACTCTCAATCACAATCTTCTCAGTCTGGGCCAATGAGGTAGATTTTCCCTAGTCTTGGTCTAATCTCTCCAGCCAGCTCCTCAGATTCTGGAATAGTAGGTTCTTGCAAACCCCAGGTCTTTCCATAGTTTGAGCATATAATATTCACTCAGTAAATAGTGCTGATTGATTTATTAAAAATAGCTTCATACAAACCAGTTTCCCTGAGAACTCATCAATTTTTCAGTCTTATTTTATGTTTGGAAGCACATCTGCTCATGCTTGAATGTTTGTGAAGTTTATGTTAAAACACAAAAAGAAAGTTTATTCAGTCAACAACTATTTTTTACTGTCTACTACGGTCCAGGTATAAAACTACTATCCTTACAGCAAAAACTTTGTCAATGCTTCTAGTTAATAACAAGTCTAATTTGTAGGGTAAGATAAGGCACGAGAATGCCCAGTATAGTGCTGGTATGCAATAGAAGGTCAACAAATGTGAGTTTTCCCCCATTATTCTTGTGCTGCAGAGTAATTAGGCATATTCGAACAGCAGTTCCTATAAATGACCATAATTGATATTTACTTATATAGCCAAACCAAGCAAGTTTATGAACCAGTAGAGGCAAAGTGGTTAGAGAAAGGAACTGCCGCAAGGCCTGGACATCAGGGTAAATGGATGTGAATAAATATCTTATATATTTTTTTTAAAAAGTGGTGGGAACACAAGAGGACACAAAGTTGGTTGTGCATTGTAATGCTCCAGCATTATACCAACATTCTGACTTAATCCACTCATCAGGCTCTCAAGGTGAATGTTATGGTGAAAACCTGGTCCTAGACAGCTTAGATAATTTAACCAAGGACACACAGAAAGTAGATGGCAGAAGTTGGCTTATGAGTCAAGCCTGACTGCAATCTATCTTGTGAGAATCAGAAAGCTGATTGAGGAGGGAATCACCCAGTCTCCTGAAAGGAATAGAAGGAACGGTTCCTTGATCACTCCATGGTGATAAATTTCTCTCAGAACTCTGGCCCAGACAGAGCTTATCTCAGATATCTGTTTGATTTTTTTCCTTCAAGATTATTGAGTCTTAAAACTTTTTGGAGTTAAAGACCACTTTGGAAATCTGATGCAAGCTTTCCATTCAATCAATTGGATACTCATTCAATAAGAATCTCTGAGTTGCCAGGATCTGCTCTTCAGGCTAAGAATACAACGGTGGACAAGGTACTTGGATTCCTGGCCTCCTGGAACTACAGTCTGCCTATAGGCCCTCTCCCTGGAAAAAGGTACTTTCACCTAAACATATAAATGCAGTTTCAATCTGTGGAAACTCAGTCCTCCTGAAACCCATCCTTGGACAAGAGCACCTAATTTAATAAGGTTCCTTCTACCCTGGTTGGACTTCAGTTTTGTGTTTAGTTTCATATCAGAGCTGCTTGATAAAATTACTCCTTCTTTCCCCCTTCACCACTTGGTTTTATCCTGTGCTATTCATCCATTCAGTCAATCAAGTCATTCATTCAGTCATCAAATATTTGAACATCTAATAAATGCCAGGCACTTGGTTAGGCACTGAGGGAAGTGAAATGAAAATCCTTAGTGACAGAAGCAGATACACAAAGAATTATGACAAAATGTCAAATACCATAATAGATAGATAATAATATAATATATATTTAAATAATAGCTACCTTCTACTGAATGAATTCTAAATGGGTCAAACATTTATGACATATTATAACATAATGTTATCTTGTTCAATCATGTCAATAACAAAACAAAATAGGTATTATCCCTACTTTACAGATGAGAAAACCAAGGCTTAGTAATGTTGGGAAACTTGCTCATGGTTTCCAGCTAGTCAACAGCTATATGTAATATACACATACAAGCACACACATGCATACATATACATGATAGAAATATTGAAAAAAAGAATATATATATAAATCTGGAATAAGAGATACTCTCTAAAGCAAGACATAAATATGGAAATGAAAATGAAAAACTGATCGACTTAACTATTTAAAATTAAAAGCCTCTATGATAACAGACTCCATACAAGTGAGAATTAGGAGAAAATAACTGAAATATATATTAATAGTCAAGGGATTAGTGGTAACTAATAATGTCCTCCCCAGGTAAAATTTATATGTAGTAAAATGCACAGATCTTAATTGCAAAATTTCGTATGTTTTGATAAATGTAATGCCCATTACTACAATCAAAATATAAATGTCTCTCTAGAAGAAAGAGTAAAACGTTTCCATTACCCCAGGAACTTCCCTCATTCCCCTTTCCAGTCGCTCTCTACCTCCGCTGTTCAAAGTCAACCACAATTCTGATTCTATCATCAAATACTTGATTTTTTTTTTTAAATGTCCAAATTCTCTTACTAAATTATAAGTTTCTTTAACAGAGGACCTGCTTGAGTTTTTTCTTAGGTTTGTGTGTGTGTGTGGTAAATATATAACATAAAATTTGCCATTTTAGTTACTTTAAAGTGTATGATTCAGTGGTATTAGTTACATCTACAATGTTGTGCAACC